TTTTGAAATATTTCACAAAAACGTGAAACATTGAATTTTTTTTAACACAAATAAAAACACAATTTATTTATTTTTTTAACACAATATTCAGTGTTCTAAATTCTAATGTCAGAATTAAGTAATTATACAATATACATGTATAATATTGTATACCTACTTGTATCATTTAAACATTAAAATATTTAAACATTTTGAATACCAATTTAAATGTATAATACCAAAGGTTAGGTATACATACAGGTACCATATAGTGATGAATGTAATTTATGACGTTATATGTAAATATAAAAATTATTTAAAAATAAAACAAAATATATTAAAATACTGAAATATTTCACATATTTTGAAATATTTCATGAAATATTTCACGAAATATTTCATTTTTTTAAATTTCATGAAATTTTCAAACACTAGATACATGTCATTCCCTCTGTATAGGTTTAAGTGGGGAAGTTGTTAAAAGAAGAATTTTTGAACCAAAATAGGATATTGGCCCCCTCACCGCCTCCCTTAAAAGAAGAATTAAATCCGCTACTGGTTTTCAACACATAAGAGCTTAGAACAAATGCCTAGGATACAACTGAGACGATATTGCTGTTTATACTTACAGAAAAGCATTGGCGTCATTTAAGTTTTTATTAGACTTAACATTTTTTTCACTCAGATTCTCATAGCATATTGCCATAGTGGTTATGTTGAGGGGGAGGGGTGGTAAATGTGCTGTCTTGAGGTTGATGTAAATACTAGACTGGGGTAAATGCCCCAGTTGCCCCCTCCTCCAAATTACGCCACTACAGAAAAGTTATAAACTTACAACTAATACATTTCCAACACCGAATAATATATTGTGTTTCTTGATATATTGTGTAACTAATATTTATTGGTAACTATTTGGACCACCATGAATATCACAGTAAAACCGATTTAGATTTATTTATCGTGATGATAATTTATGATGGTTTGTTCACAATCATTGATATCTTGATGACTCGATTCTAACGGATCAAAAATAATAATAATTTTGTCAGTAGTCAATACGATTGCAAATGTAGGTTTATTATGATTTATGATAAATTCAGTATAGTACTATACCAATATATTATATTAAGTATTAGTTATTACAAAAGTCTTAATTTATTTATATTATTGAAGAAAGATAAAAAAAAACATAGACTATACTACTATAGTGAGCAGTGAGCATATTATGGTATTATAATTTGTAATACTATATTCAGTGGTGTGTTTGAAGGGGGGGGGGCGATGGCCCAATTTAATAGTTTCTGGATAAACTGAAACTTTTTTCTAAGGCCTTCCAAGTATATATTCATGGTTTTCCAAATATGTATAATTTAAAATTATTACGACAAAGCAATGAAAAGCATAATATGATTTTGATGCTACTAAATATATTAGTATTAGGTACCTAAATGTTGAAATTGTATTTTTGATAGGTAATATTTTTTTGATGTGTAAACATCTATGCTATCGGTTTGTAGTACGACCTTCTTGGGGAATCGAGCGTCAGGCGTAAGTCATGTAGATGTGACTGCTTGAGTGTGTGTGTGTGTGTGTGTGTGTGTGTCGTCGCCATAGCCAGTGGCGTAGAAAGACTCGTTAGCGCCCCTGGCAAACCTAGAAAAATGCGCCTTTTTAGCGATTAAAAAATTGACGAAAATACGGAATGTTATTTTTTAACATTTATTTTTTATAATATATATAATTAGGTAATACAATATTATTTAACTATCAGTTATTATGATAATGTAAATTTCAAACTTTAAAAATTTTCTTTTCTTGCTTTAAGGCTAGAGAATTCATTGATGATTTCGTCATATGAAATTTGTTTAGCAAATTCATGTTCTATGGGTAAAATTGCCATGCTTGTTAGTCTCTCTTGTCCAATAGTTGATCTTAAGTAATTTTTAATATAATAGTAATATATGTATAACAAGATTATTGATATATAGACGACAAATAATATAATAATATACTTTATAGACGGGCCACGGGCGATCCGATAACGATAAGCTCGATGTTCAGTGTTCACAAACACACACACGAAACACGAATTTAAAGATGAACAAGATAAACAAAATCATACACATTTCAAAATGTATAGCCGTATAGGTAATAAAGAAATGTCGTTTTGAAGGTAGAATAAAAATAAGTACCAATTTAAAAGCACAAATTTGCGCCCCTTCATAATTTGCGCCCCTGGCCTACGCCTACGCACAGTTCGCCATACCCTTGCTACGCCACTGGGCCCATAGCGCTAAAATAGCAAAACCAATAAACCAGGCAACTCGCCTATCTATTATTTTCTTTATTTTCACGAGTCTGGTAGGTGCGAACGCGCTCTGGTACAGTCGTCGGCCGATTCATTATTATTATTAATATTATTTATTATTCTCGTTTACGTATACGCGTGAAACCGTGTTTAATTCCCACTCAAACCATGACATTATATTCCCCAATCAAAGTCGTACTACAGCTAAGATGTTTACACATCATTCGTGAGTACAAAGGCACTCACATTTTCGTATACAATGATATGATATCATTGAATTCAAATTTAAAACAACCCATTATACAGTTACCAACTTGTAACCTACTGTGCAGCAGAGTGACATCCACTTACCCAATTTTTTTTTTTAATATTGTATGTGGCGTTCCGCCCTCATTGAAAAGCTGATAAAAAATATGGCCCACGTAAGTAAAAAGGTCCCCTGATGATTATTGATAACGTAGTATTATACTATTATCCATATTAGATGTAAAAAACTGCCCAGATTAACCTTTACCATTGTTATTACTAAGTGAATTGATGCTTAAAATTGTATTATTTGGAGAAACCCTACAATTATTTGTATCTTTACAATAGGTTGGTTCAAATAAACTGGTTTTTTCGACTCAAAAAATGACCAAGGAGTTTTCTCATGGTTAGATTTATTGTTCATAATTCATCAAACAAATTACTTGTTACTTGATGAAAAGAAGTACTTTATTTGGCTTATTCAATTTTATACTTGATATTATTTTGGAAAGTTTGCTGTTTGTGGAAAAAATCATATTCAATATAATATTAATATACGTTAATAGTTTCAAGTAGGTATCCATGAATAATATTTTTAAATTTCAACAAAATAACCCAAATCGGATATATTATATTATTATGTTTATATTGTTTAATTTCAAATTATTACCAAATTTTAACTTTAAATGTCTATAAAAAATATTATATATATATATATATATGTATTTTTTTTTTTTGATTCCAATTTGACTCCTTATAAAAAAACTTATTTTGAATGTTTTCAAAGTCTTATATTGAGAGTCTTATTACATCTATTTTGAAGAATTTTGTCTAAATATGCTTTTAAAAATATTTTAATTAGGTTTGTATTTGAGATGTTGTATTATGTCATGTTCAAGCTTAATGACCTTGCGAAAATATCTTATCGAAATTTATAGAAAAATAATTATAAAAAATCTATTTTTATTTATAAATTGGTTAAAAAGAATCACCAGAGAAACATAAAAGAGTTTCCAATTATACAATTTTCATTTGCTAACCTAAAACATGGATTTGCTATTGTTTGTTAACTATTTACTAACAATTGGCGTTTGTTTGTTATATCGATCGGACAAAGTGAGTGGGTTACCTATACTGCCTACCACCATTTTTAAAAGAATTCATAATACCCACAAAAATTATATTTTGTTAGCTTCTGCAACAAATTTGCTAACAATTTGTTAACTTTTGATAATGATTTGAAGTTTAGCATAAAGTGGCAGTGGCGTACCTATTCTTCTTACGAGGGAGGGGATTTATTTTCATCTACTCTTCAAATATAAATTCTATAAAAAAGTTACAACAGTTGTATATACACTTAAGGTTGTAGATACTAAGTACAAATTATTATTCTATAGTAGGTGCATTTATATTTTGTAACTAGGAATCAATGATAAGAGAAAACTGTTGAACCGCCAAAACGAAATGATAACACCAGGGATTTTGACCAGGTTCGACCGTAGATAAAAAAAAATATTTTAATATCTATAATATCAATGGATTTGATCATGACGACATGACGTTATCATATAGTATTAGGTATTAACTACTATAGTACTATGTACTTCATTGGTAGGTACTTTATACTTCTTGCCTCTTGGTAAGTACTTCACAAAAATATTTCAAAATAACTGTAAAAACATTAAAAATAATGCCAATGCATATATATAATTATACAGCCCGTGGGAGGGAAGGCGAATGCTCTCTTCGCACCCCCCCCCTCCCCACTCTTAATACGCTACTGTAAAGTGGGTGCCGGGTGGGTTAAGTTCATCCCCTCTACTTGGATTACATTTTAAATTTGTTAAAAGTAACCGATCCTGGTGTAGAGGTAACGTTAACGCCGTAAGAGGAAATTTAATTTTGAGAATTTTCCAGGGTTATACATAGTTAAATTTTAGCTGCACAATATTGTACACAATTTAATATTTATACTGCAACTTGCAACTTGCAAGGTTGTGTCATGTGTGTTTTTAAAGTACTGATACCAGGGAACACACCTTATTGTTGATCCTTGTAGTATGCATTTTTTCTATCATACAAACACCGATATTTGCTTACAAATACAGCCAATACTCCTCCCGTAGTTTTTTTAATGAAAATAATATTTTTTTACAATTTTTAATTATTAACTTGTACATATACTAAAATGTGATCTAAATTTTACGTATAATTAGAACATAGAACATTAAAACATTTATAGTTACATTTAAAAACAAGTGAAGTAGTACCTGCATGGCTGCGGTGTCCAAAATATTAATATCATGCCGGGTCTCTAGACGAGTGCATAGGAATCACACACTTTAAATTTTTTTAAAAATTTCTATAGTTTCTATAATAGTTGTACACTTGTTACAGGCATATTGATAGTTATCTATCGATAATTACTTATAGTACTCGACCGTAAATGGTAGTTACTGATATAAACATGGTTCGACAACTTTTTACAACAATAAACCGGCGCAGTTTGTCGTCACTTACAATGCTATGCACCACGTTAACATTGCTAATTGATTTAGCCAATTCTTCAGTATCATGTGGCTCCGGTATAAAATCAGTTGGAGGTAAGAAACTTAAATGTTTATTAATTTAGTATTCATATATTTAAGTTAAAATATAAATTCACTTAGTAAAATGTTATCAAAGTTTTTAGTGTATAATTTGTAATTGCTTTAGTATTTCAAATAAATTATATGGTTAGTTAAATAATATTTTCTATGCATGATTAGTGCATGTTTACTATTGTAAAATGTTAGTACAGTTGATTGATTTAACTTTTAATGCTTAGCCATCTTTGAAAAAAATAAAATTGTGTCTCTGTCTCAGATAAGTAACAATACATTAAATTACCATTGATTATAAACTAGGTATCTAATAATTTGTCAATTGGAGACGAGTACCGTGTTACAAACGGCCACGGTTTTAAAATACGTGAGACGTTAGAATTTTTACAATGGTAATACGTTGGAGACGAATGCCGCGTTTAACGCGGTACGTGTGTTTAATGTATAGGGACGAACATTTCCCGCCAATTATTTGTTGTGTGGACGGGCTATTTTCTCATGTTTTCCATATTTTTTTAATTATAAATAATCCGATTAACTTATTTGTTTGCATCGAACTCTCTGCGTGTTGATCTAAAAATAGATCATGTGATTATCTAAAACACGATATATGTAATATACGCCTTATTACGACAGTTCCAATGGTCAAAACAAAAAGTTGACCGATATAATTATTTTATTTTATCTTGTCGTATTTTTTATAAATACGAGTATTAAGCTATAATACTAGCTACTATACTTTTTTTTTATAGTAGGAGAAAAGGACTAAAAAAATAATGGTATTGTGATTCGTTTTGATAGTATTATTTTTCTGTAAACACGCGATGTATGTAATGTTTATAACTTTGTAATCATAAAAATTAACAGATACACATTTCAATATTCGTATACATTAATTTTAATAGTTAAAATATCAATAAACTTATAAACATAAATAATCACCTTTTTTAAAATTAACATTTTTTTCTTTCATAATAATTATATATTGACAATTAATAATAAATGAACACATTTTTAATAAATACGTTTAACAGTATCTATCGTAAAAAAGAAACTAATAAAATATTTAAATAAAAAAACAATTTTATTCTTCATATACACCCTATAATGTATTCTTCCGCGAAAAGGACACACCCCTTCATCAACAGTAATATTTTGCCCTGAATAATATAATGTTGCCATTTTATCATTTAAAAAATTTACATACGATCTAATTTTATATAAGCTTTCATAAACAGGTTGACCTTTCTGAATTCCTATATTTATCGTTATTTACTATATGTAACATAGAAAAAAATATTTATAAACCTATCCCTTTTCATGAGTTTAGAAGAGTATGTTGTTTGTAATACATGGTTAGTTGACCAATAACCTTTATTGAAGATATCTTTTTATCATTTTGTCTTTTAATAACAAATTTATGTATTTCTATATTATATATATATTTTTTTTTATTATTAACATAAATGCTTCAATTACAAAGATTATTAGCCTGAAATTAAAAAATTTGGGTTTTTACAATATAAAATTATACATAATCTTATTATTATAGGAAGTATATTATAATATTAACAGTTTTTTATCTCATTCTATTTTTTTGAAAAATTTAAAAATGTTGCCGGAGTTATGTTGACTGAGGGCTTCTTCTAGTGACCTTGGATTGTTGAGCAGGAAACGTGTGGTTGAGTATTTGGGCAGACAATAATGATGTGTGCCATTGTAAGGGGAGTTTTACATGTGTCACACAAGGGGGGGTTCCTTGGTTATCAGATATGAGTGCGTGATATGGGAATTGCCTATTCTGGATTTGTTTATAACTATTTGTTATCTCCTTGATGCGTTCTCTGGATATGCCCATTTTGATATAGATTTTTTTATGTTTCTGAGTTTGTTACTGGAGGGAATTGAATCCCAGTGATTTTGCCATGTTTTTATAATCCGTTTATGGGCTTCATTTATTAGGTCTTTATACGGGATTTTATTTATGATGGTAGAGGTTGTGGATGTAACTGCTTCATTCGCCATTTTGTCGGCTTTTTCGTTCCCGGGGATACCTATGTGGGATGGGACCCATATAAACTTAATTTTGTTTTTCGATGAGAAAATAAGGTCTTTGGTAAGTTGGATTACTTCATTTTGAGGATGATGATCTTGTAGTGAGATAAGGGCGCTGAGAGAGTCGCTTATTATAAGTGAATACTTATAGTCTGATTGTACGGCGAATTGGACTGCCATATATAACGCATAGGATTCCGCTGTGAAGATACTGGAGAATGAAGGAAGTCGAAAGGTATATGTATTTCTATATTATATATTTTATATTGCTAACTAGTAGACGTTTAGGAATAAGTCATAAATAATAATCCTGTGTATGTTGTTGTGACAATTATAGGAACGGTCCCAACTGGTGACATCATCCTAGAGTATGGAAGTGGAGTTCCTTTGGAAATCACGTGCATCTTGCAATCTGATACCATAATAGTGCAAAACTTGTTACGTGATCGAACGGACAGTTGTAATAAAACCAAATTTCCCAGCCACAGGATCATTTTTTATAAAAACGCAGAAATCGTACCAAGACAATATGTGTCAATCGTCAACGCAACTGCTGCTCAACTCCGCATTCCAAACCCCCCAGCTGGCCAAGATACCTATTATTGCACACTATTACTTGATTACGAACGAAGTAAAAACGAAAGTTATGGTAATTCTAGCGGCGATCACCCGAATATTATGCCATCTAATGTTTCGTCCACGTTTCCCACTGTAGAAGATGAAGTTACTGGCTCGAACACGAATGGATCTCATCTACTGGGGTCACAAGTTGGGGTTTGTTTAAATAGAGTCTATGTTGGATGTAAGTTAACCACAACATTTATTCTATTTTAGTTTAATTACTTATAATAATTAATAATAATTAAATTATAACAAGAACTTCATAACTTATATAACTATAACTTTACGAATCTTGGGTCGTTTATGAATGATGACTTAAAAATATTGTTCTATTCCTCATTAATACCTTATTTTTAGGGTGTTTTCACTAAACAAATTAATTTTATAAGGGTGAGAAGCAATATTTTAAAAATCACTGTGCCCCTTTCTAGTTATAGTACGGTAGCAAGTAATTATAAATACATACATGTAGATTATTCAAACAACTTTAGAATAAAGCTTCAATTATTTAATTATAACAATTTTTCAGAATTTTTCTCAAATTACTTAATTTTAAATTCTAGTGAACGAATGAGTTTTGGAGATAAAATTGACTTGAACCTCAATAAACAATCATTTTCTATTCAAAACTTATATAGTTGTAACTTATATTATATAAGAATTTAAAAAACTATTCAAAATAAATATTTGTTTAGATAAACCAGCCATTGTAAGAAATTTTACATGCATCTCTGAAAATTGGGCCAATTTGAGGTGCAATTGGAACATATCAGAGAACCCAATCAAAACCACTTATTCATTATTATTTAGATTACCCGGTCGTGCTGGAGGCAGGTAATGTATTACAGCTGTTTATAATATTTTTTATTTATTATATGTAACTTTTTTATTTTTATAAATAGAATATTCATAAGTTGTCCGACGGATTCAGATATTAGAGAGAATAGTTGCTATTGGGATTTCAATACTACGCCCATGTATAGACAGCCTTATGAATTTTACGATTTCAGATTAAATGGCCAAAATGTTTTAGGAAATTCATCTACGTTTTTCAATTTTCATCATTATGCCAACAGTAAATTTAAACATTAAAATTATATTAAGTTATTATGATCAAAGTATTATGTAACGTTATTTAATAATTGTTTAATATTAATAGTTATTCCCGCGAGCCCTATAAATATCACCGTGGTGAATACAACAGAATCGAGTGTTATGTTGAGGTGGTCTGTGGGCACTATGACAAACTTTCCACGGGAACTAATTTATAAGATCGAATATAAGTCACAATGGGATTCCAATCCCGAACCATGGCATGTGAGCGTTAAAAAATCCATGAATGAAAATAAAAATGATATGATGATGGTTACAATTTTTTTTACAGTCTGTAATTACAAGTGACGTGGTTTGTAGTATGTCCAATCAAACAAATTCATTTCTGTATACTATGAATTGCCAAGAACGTAATGATGATTATTATTATTTTAATGTCACTGATCTAAAATATCCGTCAGCAAATTACGATTTTCGCATGTACGTACGTTCTTCGCTTGCCCGCGGGGAGGATAAGTGGTCACTTCCTGGTTATATAACTCTGAAAACCAAACCTTCGAGTGAGTTAATGGCCTATAATGGCTTATAATAATTTGTTTATATTATAGACTACAAACTGATATTGAGTTGTTCAATTGAATTTGTAAGATGTACCCACCTATTACCTACCTTATGACTACCTATTCTTAAAACCGAATTCGATACAACACTAATATAGTATAAAAATACTACCTACTTATTATTTCGTGTGCAATCATTATAATTCGTCATATGATCCATAGTACCAAGAAGACCACCAAGAACTGATATTGGGAGCTTTGAGAGTCTTACGTCACGAATCGACAAATCCAAAAGAAACGTGTTCATTTATTGGCAACAAATTGATGATAGTGAAAAATGTGGTGACCTGTTTGAGTACCGTGCTTACTATACTTCAACCACAGAACAAAACAAGTCCATGTAAGAGCAATTTTTACATTGATTTTTTGATATTTTTCTGATTGAATCTTTTAAATCGATACTGCTATTGTTTAAAAATTTAGTATTCACTATAGCAATGAAATATATGAAAGTTATGCCAAGTTTCAAGAACTCAGTACTTCAGTTGGTTACAACTTTACAGTGTACTCATCGAACAAAGAAGGGTTGTCAACGGAATATTCAACAATATACGTACCTAGTGAATCCCAGAGTAAGAATTTGATAAATTTACTGATGTTTATACGAATATTTTAAATATTTAATTGCAACTAGGAATTGAAAAACCATTATTACTGACAAAAATGGTATTTGATCAACAAGGTGTTTTTGAACTATCCTGGAAAAATTCTGGTACTACGGAATCGTCCACTGCCGATGAACTGAATTACTATACATTATTCTGGTGTGAAAATGTTAATCATCTTCCTTATAAATGTAATGTACGTAAATTAATATAGGATAAGTTTTCGAACACAATTAGTACATACGTTGTTGTAGAAGTTTGGTTTTGAAAAATATATTTTCATTGAATATTGGTGCTGCTTATAAAAACATTGGTACATTTTATCTCAGTTTTTTTTAAGATTTTATCTCTTAAATGACTAACTATGATTCTGTAAAAAGTTTATGACGATTTTGATATAATTGATAGAATATGTAGATAAGGGTAGATAAGGATTTTTTAATAAAATCTGTTAAAATCATATAATATTTCATTGTTGGTATAAAAATTATATTTTTATGAAACAAATATTAAATTAATTTCATATTCTATTCAAAGTTTTAATATTTCAAATAGTTAAGTTTAAAACATGGAAACTTAAGGTAAGTCATATGCATGAACTTATCCCGAGAGAAGGATAATATTGCACACATGGTGGGGTAAAATAGGGCAAGAAAAATTATTTATTTTAATTTAAAAATTTACAGAAAATACATTTTTAAATATATTAACTCACCAATAATAAACTGTACCTAATCGTTATGATTTATAATAAATATATATTTCATTTATATCTACTTTTATAAAATAAAAAAATGTTATATATATAATATAAATATATATATATTGTATATATTATAAAATTAATAATAAGTGAAGACATATTATATATTTATATTTATAAATTATTATACAACAATTTGTGTACCTAAATTATATAAATATATATATATTTATTTATTTATATAAAATCAAGGGGCTAAAGCCTTTTAACGAAGAAAGAAAATCATTACATATGAATTGGCACAATATGAAAACAATAGACAAGTGCTAATAATAAAAGTAAAAATAGTAAGAAATACACAGACAAAATTTTAGTCTATAAAACAAAACTATAAAATAAATATTTAGGCACTATGATGTAAGAATAACAAAGTTTAGCTTTAAATACTTGACGAGACAAAACGAAAAAATCCAATACTGTGAAGATTCTATTGGCGTTAACAATAGCTCTTGAAAAAAATGAATGTTTTCCACTATTTGTATTAAAATTATGTGTATGGAACAAATCAGAATTACGTGTATACCTACTAGGGATTCTAAATCTAATTAAATTTAAAATAGCTGGGCAGCTTATATTATTATTTAAAATATTAGAGACAAACATTATATCAATTAAATCACGAATTATGTTAAGAGAATCAATACCTATAGAGTTTTGTACCAAAAGGAAAGAGTCCCTGGATATAGTACAATGAGTAATAAAGGCAACTCTTTTCAGAAATTTATACTGAATATTATTAAGCACGTTAGAGTCAGTGGAATAATTATTAGACCAAATTAAAGAGCCAAATTCTAGGTTTGATCTAACTAAAAAATTATACAATTTTTTTTTGAAATAATTTCACAAATTTAAACATGTTAAAACATATAAAAACAAATAAAAACTATTGAACAATCGAACGTTGTTCAATCATAATTTAACAATTAATTTAAAATATAAAAAAAGGCCTGTAACAAATTGAACAAGTATAGATATTATAGTAATAGGTCTAAAAAATAAAATAATTATCAATATTACGATATAACGATGACTTATATGTGGTGGAGTACTCAGTAAATGGATACAACTATCCCTGTTTGAAGTCACAGTCTTTAAATTAACATAAAAACAATGGTTTTTCAAAATCAAAAGAACTAGAGAGTCTAAAGAAGGTATTGTAATATGATGTTTCAAATTATCAAGCCACTCATAATCATAAAAACATCTGAATTTATGTTTTATTTATTTTAATTTAATTTAATTTATCTGTATCGAAAATCAGATAATATCCTTCCCGGAGTTTCTGGATTGAATTCAACTCTTTCAGTAGCAACTGATTTTCCTACAATCTTTTTACCTCTAATAACTTTTGGGATTTAATTTAGAATGATTGAAATAACAGTTTCATATATTTTGAATATTCTGATAGAAGGAATATTTAATTTTTAAAAATAATTTATAAATTGTCATAAAATCTCTTAAAAAGTAGGTATTAAGTAATTTATTTTATATAGGACTTTTTGAGACATTCCAAACTTGTGTAGTCAACTAAAAATCATAGTGGAGATTTTAGGACCTAGCACCTGGGATATGTCTAAATTAGTAAATATTAATACCACAGTTGAGAACCACGAATGTATGGTTAACCAAAATATTCCTGGGGTATACCCTGCCTCTTCCTCTACTTATCTAAACTAATCATACTGAATATGCATCTGAAATCCACCGGAATGAACCAACGTTTCTGATGGTATTTAACTGAGTGTTATGTATGTGTTTTGTAGGGTTATATGAACTGGACCCATGTACCTGGCTCAGAATTTCGCTGCAATGTCACTATATTAAATTATAATGTTAAAAACCATTATCAATTTGCAATAAGTGCTAATAGTCGACGTTTAATAAGTAATGGAACCAATAGTCATAATCAAAGCAATTGTAAGAGTAGCGGAATGGTGTGGGAATCGTGTACAATACAAAATAATATAAGTATGAAGATCTGTTATTTTAATTATAATGAAGTTTATAATTTGTCGATGTTAATTTTATATTTATCTATTTATGATTTTGTAGCTGCAAGAAAAGTTGATAACGTTTGGGTTAGTGTGATAAGCTCGACGTTTCTTGGCTTGAGATGGAATATTGACTGTACTGACAGAATAGGTTTAGTTGGGGAATATCAAATATTTTACTGTGCTGTTGTTTCCGCAAAGAATCACATTTGCAATGGTAAGAATATTTCGTATTAATTGCACTATAATAATAATTATGCTCTCGACCAGAGCAGGTAGGTTATGTATATATCCGAAACTCAACTTACCTACTACTTTTTTTACCTGTGAATCAGCTTACGGCCAAAGTGTACCCAAATTATCGGGGACCCAATTTACCAATGCCATTAGCATTTTGTAGGGAGTTACGGTTGGTTAAGGGACACGTGTATGTGGGTCGAGGATTCGTCACTAAAAACCCGGGTGATCACCCGTCCGGGAACTAGCTATGCCGGCTGATGCTTGACCTCAGAGCACGTTAATGACTTAGGTCAACCACCTGCCGAGCCACACGCCCACACCTGCAGGCCCCTTTCTATAATTATTAATTTATGTAATAGTTGCCGTAGCGAGTTAATAATATGTGATTTCTGTTTGTATATTAGGTGTTTGGATACCTACAACCTAGGAACCTACTTAGTTCTTTTATTTAATATTTATCGAATGTATCGATATTTTGTACCTAATTATCAAAATGTATAATTATTATAAATTTATTTTATATTGCAGGAACCATGTTATCCAAAATAATGAGCAGAGAAGCGGCAAAAAAAGACGGAGGTTTTACATTATTAACAAACCTTGAGCCTAATACTACGTACATTGTTTCCATAGCAATAAGTACAAACTATGACAGTAAAGGAATACACAGTGATGCATTACTAATTACCACATTAGGCTTAGGAGGAGGTTGGTATTTAAAACAAGAATATCCCACATATATGCAACAAATAATGAAACATAATTTTTATCCTTAATACCGTTAATTCATAATACAAAAATTATCCTTATTTTATAATATATTTGATTGTATAACTATCATAGATCAAGACAGTTTCATTCTATTTACTAAGAATATTAAATTTAAAATAAAATGACTTCCCTTAATCGTAACATATCTAGGGAGGTATGTATTTTATTAGTTCTTCATCCATTCATTATTCTGCAAACAAATATTATATGTATATGTAGTGTAGTTTAATTATATGTAATGTGCACCTAGTACCTACTCATTAAGACACTAACTTTATTATTTAGAAATTTAGAATTATGTAAACAAGCTTTTTATTTTATTTTTTTGTCAGTGCGCACAATATTATTGTCAAATTAGATCAATTTATAAATTAAAAAAAAAAAAAAAATAATAACAATTTTATCAATATTATAATTATTATTATGCTATTATTAATCTTCTAATACCTATTGCATTCACAAATGTACTAACAGTAAATAATAAATATATAATAAACTATCATTGGTCAAAACTCAAAAAAAAGTGTTATTAATATATACATATAAAATCCAAATACCACTGACTCACTCATCACTGTAACTTAAAAACTACACTACGTAAGAACTTAAAATTTGGAAAAGACGTTCTTCCCATATTTTCAAAGTGCAATAAGAAAGGATTTTTAAAAAGTATATAAAATTTTTTAGTGGAGTAATTAACAATTATAATTATCAATACATACCAATACTTATTGTGCTGCACGGCGGCCCGCGGGTTTCTAACTACCTGCAATCTATCCTAAGGTCAACAATAAGAATAATTGTTCGGAAGGGTGGTAATAGTTTCCTCCAAAATGAAAAAGGTTCGATTTTCATTTCCGCCAAATCTATTTCTACCTATGTTATTGAGATGTAGTTTGAGAAACCCTAGTCTGTCTGGAGTCTGCAGTGCTATCAACCATCGATGTACCTATGCCGATAAACGATTTAATATTGAAGATATCATAAAGAGATAATTGATTTTAATTGTAGAAATACTCAAACACCTGCATAATATAGATAAATATAAATCGATAAAATCTATATCATGTGCAGATATATCTATAGTGTATGTACAGAGTTTATGTCAATAATACCAGAAGGCTCAGCATATTCTAAATATGCTGATTATTTAACTGACAACAATATCTCTAAAAATAGTGTGTTTCCCCCAACAATATGGTCCAATTTTAGAGCACTTTTATCTTGAACAACAAATAATTGTGAATCTTTTCACGCACATTTTAATGAACAATTTTATAAATGACATACACATATACATATATTTTTAAAAATTTTAATTTCTAATGTTCAAAACCACGTATACATTCAAATTAACAGTTGCGACTTAGGTATGCAAAAACCTTTAAGGTGTAGTATAAAAAACGATTGATGAGTACAACAAACGCAATAGACGAAAACAACAATAAAACAATTTCAAGAATGGCATTTTTAAAAAAGGTATAAAACAATTAATCGAAATAACAATTTATAGAATTGTCAGAAATATTTGATTTAATATACTCGTATATATACATATAAGGTAACACAGATTAAATTATACTTAACTTAAAATTCAATTTTTATTTCAAATTTTAATTACAAATTTTTGAACTTAAATCCGAAAATTAAGTAAAACAATTTTTTGTGGGTCAATGAGAACTGCCTCCCCATGGTGGCCTCTGGGTAACTCTAAATGGTTCTCAAACTATAATTTAGACAGGTAGGTAGATATAGATTTGGTGGAAATGAAAATCGAATCTTTTTCGTTTTGGCGGAAACGATAATTGGCGAAACGAAATTCGAGTTTTTTGGCGGAAACGATTGACGCCCGTTCTGAGAAGCTTATCGATAAAAATAATCACATGCATGGCGCTCACACCAATATACTCCAATTATATTTTAAACGATAAAATAACCCCCCCAAAATATACTAATATATAAATATTAAATATTTTATCTCCCATCTCGCTGTGTCCGCAATCTACCGCAGATTACCTACCTGATAATCTCTTCGCAAACCATAAGCGAGTCTCACGGGCAACGCCACTCGGGATGGCTAAAAATTAAAATATAATATGATTTTGCTCCATACCTATGCAGAGCCAATTACACCCAAAAGGAGTTAATTAATCACAATTTTTTTCCCGGGCAACGCCGGGTTAATCAGCTAGTACTTTCATATCGATTGTAAATTCTTTTTTTGTAAATATCCAAGTGTAAAGTATAAATTAATACATTTTAACTCAAATTTGTGAAAGCCAACTTAAGATAATGAAAATAATAATAGATAATGTATTTTCAATACAAAAAATATTTTATAGGTACTTAAAAAATATAATATTTTTTACCTAATTAATAGTTTATATTATATAATATACATATACTCATATATAGGTATTATAATTTAATTGACAACTGACAAACCACCAAAGTAAAATAACTCATAACAGAACCAATGGAGCAACCTCATTGGCTCTTTGAACAAAAGCTCCAACACCTTGTCACGCTTCTTCAAACTAAACTGGCATTGCTTCAAACACTTCTACTATCCCTCCCACTCGAGGACACTGCAGGAAATCTCATTTTATATCCTGAGCATAAAGCCGCTCTCCTGGATAATTCCTTTGAAGCCCAATTTTGCTCCCCTCCGTGCAACCCCAACACCAACATCTCTTTCATGACAAACCGAACCACCAGCGCACACCTCCACTGCGTAATTAAATTGCGTTCCCTAGACGGCGTGCTCCTGGGACAGACGGCATTAACAATAGCGCCCTTAAACATAGCGGATGCAAAACCATCACACATCTATGCCGCATATTCAACTGGTGCAAATGACTCAATTATTTCTGTCTGCAGTTGAAGCACGCCATCGTCATCACTGTAACGAGCTGTGACTATGTGACCAAATAATAATCTAAATGCTGCAGGGTGGCGGCGTGCGTCAACAGAAATAATAGTAATAATATATCTAAATGTTGCAGTGGGCGCTAAACCCCGGGCGGCATGCATCAATAGAAGTAATAGTAATAATATCAATGATACCGCACGACGTGTTATAGAGCACGTGATAGGTATATGCATTTTTGATAAACCGTATTCTAGGTAAAATTAATAATATAGCAATACAAAAATCATGACTGTGCAAAATATTATATTCCGTAAATAACATAATTATACGAATGACGTCCAAAATGACCTCAAGCGTATGCAGCGCGTGTACCATTTTTATACTAAAAGCTATAGTAGGGATCTAAAAGGAGTACAAGACGAGATACGCTGGTGAACAAGTGTCCATCAGACGAACAACCAGCCTCAATTAGAATAGTCACTAGAGCTAAATACTTAGTCACAACTCGCTTACAACAGTTTAAATTAAATTAATATATTGGATTTAGACATTATTGGCAATATTATTTTACTGAGTTAAATAAAATACAATTATTACAATCATCTTCTTGGTTTTATTCAATGTTAATACTTCCAACATTTCAACTGTAGTAGTTGGGACTATTACATCACCATTCCTAAGCCTGACAAGAATGTATTACCAACCCAGTCAATCATCGTCCGATCTCTCTCCTAAACACAATGCCCAAAGTTCTGGAGAAACTTTTGCTCACCAGACTCGAAATCCACATCACCTCCAAAAGCTGTCCAGACCAACATGGCTTCAGAAATGCACTACCACACAACTACAACTAACACCCAACGAAATGATATACCTAGTTTCTAAATTAAAATATTAGATCTCAATGGAGCATTAACATATTTGCCAGTGTGTAATAATAAATATAGGTATTCACGTACATTCATTGTATTACCTATAGAAATCATATTATATGTACCTATTATATTTTATTTATTGATAATTGTATCCAAATAATTATTGCATCCTATACTTTATAAATATAAGTAGATTTAAACAAAATATGTATGAATAAAAGAATGTATTTACTAGGTACCTATTTAGTAGATTTACGAAGAACATTTTTATTGGTGCCTTTTAAAAATTTGTCTTGGACGCAATAAATCGGGCCAACCAGTGGCGTATTTGAACATTTTACGCCCAGAGGCAACATAGTTTGCAGCTCAACAAAAAGTTATTTTTTAAAATGTAAGGTATAACTACTATTTATGGCATAAATATGGTTAGGTTTTGAAAACTTTTTTTTGGAAACCATAGTATTTCAATGAGTTAGAACAATCAGTGATTTTGAAGTATTGTAGTTTTTTTTAACCATAACTTCCAAACATTATATCTAATTTTCGTGGTTCTGAAGTTACATATGTAAACAGGAAAGAAAAGGATGGTACTTCAGTTTCAATAACATGTCCAAATGCTGTCTCAGATTACAATTCATATATGGGTGGAGTAGACCATGCTGACGGATTACGTGCATTGTATGATATAGATAGGAAATCTCGCAAGTGGGGGCACAGATTGTTTTTTTGGTTTGATCGATATTGTAAATTCTTATGTAGTTTATTGTACCTTATTTGAGAAAATGCTAAGTCCTGCGTTGGAATACAAAAGAGCTGTAGTACGAGGTTTGCTAACCAAACAATTACCACAGAAAAAAAATCACCAGCTCAAATCCAAAAAAACGTAAAAAGGAAAAAATCATTTTATTCTATTCCAAGAGACGTCCGCACTTTAAATCTAGGTATCCATCATCCAACATTCGGAACACAACGTGGAAGATGTGAAGTATGCAGCAATAAAGGTATTGGGTCAAGATCACATTTAAAATGCTCATATTGCAAGGTCCATCTATGTGTTAACTAAAAAAAAAACTGATTTTTTGAGTATCATGAATTATAAAAAAACATCTTAAGTATATAAAAAAAATAAAATATAAAAAAATCCTTAAAAAATCGTGTTTTTTGTATTGTTTATATGTATAAGAAAAATAATCTTAATTCCTGACGGGACTTATAAGTCCAGACCGTAAAGGACTGACAGGACTTTTGAGTCCCAGGATAAAATAAGGATCAAGGATTAAAAATAATAGATTTTTTTTCATACCTTATTTTAGATATAGGAAAAAAATCGAAATTCACAAAAATTTTTTTATATTTCTAATGTTTTTAAGCTTTCGTCCAGAAAGGGTTAAAGTACATACCATAATATTCGGTAAAGCACGATTGAGCATAAAACGATTGAGCATAAAACGATTGAGCATATACCTTTTTAGCAACACGATTGAGCATAGAAAATTGTATGCGATGTTGCCACATTTACGTGGCCGAAATTTTGTATTTATTATTGCACCAATAATATTGTTATGATACCAGACGCGAGTCGTGAGCTGAGCCCAGCTTTATCGACAATGTTAGTTATCGGTTAATAAATTAGTTCCGGAGCAATAAGGTTCCGAAGTTTTAAAAATTTAAAATTAAAGGAAAACATAAGATTATAAATTAAGATACAATTCCAAAATTATCATTTAAATAATATCAGTGTTCGATCACCCATACTCTATAGTATTCTTGACTTATAAAGTTATAAGCCATGCAGTATCTTTTTAATTTCTACCATATTTTGATTTTATTATTTTCATAACTATTGTTATTATTATTATCATCATTATCATTATTATTATTATTATGTAATTGTTTTGATATATTATATTTTGAATTATAATAGTTATTTAAATAAATCTTTTCGTATAATATAGTTTAAAATGGAAAATGGCAACGTTGCAGAGTTTTTTATTTTCAATCGTGTAGGTTTTCTTTTGTATTCTGATTTCCTTTGACACGCCGACAATTTGGCTCAATCGTGTAGTAAAAAAGGTGTTTTATGCTCAATCGTGTCTCAGCCATAATATTAACCATGCAAAACACAAATTTTGAAGAAAAAAATTCACAAACATCTCTTTAGAGCTAAATTGTATTTGTTCCAATATTTCATATTTTCATCTATTAGTTACCTCTTAAATCTCTAGGAAAACTAATGTTAAATAAACATATAATAGTTTTTATAAAAAAAGTATAAGTAAAACAAAAATGTATACAATGATTTCGTTATAAGGAATAAGCGTTCACTTTTTTTTTCTTATCGTAAAATAAATAATTTCACATATTATATGAAAGAATCAATATTATAAAAATAAAATATTAACTGAAAACAGTTTATTATTTATTTTAATTGCATTTTTTGTAAACCTTGTCTTTAATATTAATAATCTAATAACTCCTAGATTGGAGATTTGAAAACAAAGTTATAATTTCTTCAAAATCTGTTTTAAGCTTTACTAATATTTTTATTCAACTGTCAATAATGCCAACGCAAAACACATTTCTTAGTTCATAATTAATTTTTAATATTTTTTGTAATTATTAATATTATTTTCCGACTAATTTATGAAAACAAAATACATTTTTGAGTTGTAATAATTGTTTTTAACAGAAGGTTATAAAAGAAAAGAAAATTATTTTTTATTTTTGTTTGATACAATTAATACACATTAATATGTTAACATAAATTTATCAACCCCTAAATGGAGTAAAAAATGTGCCACCTCGGGCAACGGGGTACGCTCCCCCCTTAATACGTGCCTGGGGCCAGCCCTGCTCTCTTCGTAGATTGTTTAAATGATTGTCTTTATCTCTAAACCGTAAATACTTACAGACTACAGAGTAGAATCGATAAATAAAACAATATTAATGTTTTGGAACCTGCATTTTCATGCCCAGGCTTGAAAAAGGGATACATTCGTATACAGTCCTACTTGGTATAGGTACCGTTAATGAATGAAGCGGAATCGTCGAAATCTGGTTACATTTTATTTGTATATAAAGTTTAATAATATTTTAAAATACTCCAATGTATTTTTAATGAATTTAGTTGTATTAATTTAAAGCGCTTTGTTAATATGACTTACAGGCATATAAATCTATATACATATATGTGAAAATTAATATTTGTCTGTCTGTCATCTGTGTGTGTGTGTGTCCTCTATGCATTCCTAAACCGCTGGACAGATATTGACGAAATTTGGTAAGAGATAGATTAGACCTCTATGCTGAAGATAGGCTAATTTAAAAAGGAAGAGGACCAACCCCAGGAGGTGCTCAAACAGGGATTTCGAGATTTCCGATGAAAATGTTTGTTTTTAAATGGTTGCCATGGGTTTTAAAGCTATTATAATAATAAAAAATAATATTATAATACTACAGAACATATTAATCATATAGAGTTGGCATTTTTAATAGGCAACGAAGTGCACGGGGTCAGCTAGTATATTATAATAATAATATCTTCCTTGTATTACCTTTCATAAACGTAAAAATCTTATTTATTATTATGATTTATGAGGTAAATTATTTTTAACCATAAAAAATCAAAACTAGTCTGGATATCGGATATTAGGAAGTTATATATTTGTAGTACTGTCGTCTGTTGTAGGCATATAGTCGAATCAGGCATTTAACTATCCACCTAGATATTTAGTTAAATGCCCAGATGTTTAACAAAATGCCTATTTCAAGTTATGCAAACAATAAAAATGAAACGCTTTTGTATTATTTTAAAAACCATACTTTATTCTCTTATTAACTACCTATTTATTTCTATTCTAATATTCTATATCGAAAATTATGTATAATTTATTAATATGTAAAATACTTATAGGTATACAAAATATTTTTAACTGCGTGTCCTTCCGTAAAATTATTTTACAACTCAAATTATAAATAAATATATGTAGTTACTAATTAATTAGTTTAAACGGTGCGATTATAAAAAACGAATAAAAAGTTATCTTATAATTACTTATTTTTGTTAATTTTTAAATGTCAAACAGTCTGTGATTGTGTTCTAAAAAAATTTTGAATGTTCCAGCAAATTCCATCAAA